TCGGTGTCAGCTGCCAGAGAAGGGAAGCACTGAATCAGAGCATCGTGTTACGGTACCTACCACGCTGGGGATTTCACACAAAGCGTCGGATGATTCAGAACACCAAAAACCCCCAAAATCAAAAGACTTTTTTGGAAACACAAGTCAGCGCAGAAAACAAATATCAAGGCTTTAGGAAAAGCTGCCGTGTTTTCACAAAGGGCTTCAAACCAGTTTTTTTGCTACAGATAACCCCAGAGAAAACAATTTCTGTAGGGAGTACTTAATTTGTGAAGAAGCCAACGTGTTAGGAGATGATACTATTGAATTAAAAGATCATAACAGCACACAATAAAGCAGTTCGTCTGATTTTAGTGGAGTGACACTTGCTAGAGATGAAGGCAATGAGTGTCATATGGGTATATATGTGTGTGAATGCATATAGATTTTCCTAGCAAATGTATAGATGGGAAAAATAGGACAAATTCAAATTTGTATTGAGGGATATTAAAGAAATCCAGTTTTTACTAGCAAATATAAAGATGGGAAAAATAAGATAAATTCCAATTTGTATTGAGGGATGCTAAAAAAATACTGTTCAGTACCACTGTTGGGAAAAAAAAAAATTCTACTCATGAGGGTAGGGAGAAGGATTCGCAATTTCAAGGGCCTCTTCTTTGCCCTGGCAATGTATGTTTTTTTGATGTTCCTTCTGTTTCCGAGCAAATTGAGCTCCTGCAGCGCGCGCGCAGCTCGGCCGTCCCTGCTGCATGCAGATGTTCTCGCCCTTACGTAACAGATGTCTGCGCAGCCCTCGAGGATCGTGGAGACAGAAGGATTAAATAAATGAATATTTCAAAACAAGAGAAAAGTTTTCAGCAAGAAAAAGGAGAAAAGAAGGTAAAGAGACTGTCGCAAGTGTTGTGCTTCCTGTGGTAAAGTGGATTACAGTTTATTCTGCTTTTTTTTGTTCTGCCAGGGTGATGATATTCTTTTAAATACTCCACCACAACTGGAAGTCTTCAGAAGAAACTCCAGTGTGTATATAATCATATCAGCACACTGAGACAAGAGCTTTAACCTCAGAGTTAAAGAGGAAGAAGGCATGCTTTCCCAGAATTTTTCTTCTCCAGTCCTTTCAGACGGTTGAGAACATCCTAATCTAAACTAAATCTGAGTTTGTAGGTTAAGGGATGCTACTACTGACACAACGCCCTCCACGATACAACAGGATTAGTTTGTGCAGACAAGCAGAATTGTGCTCAACATTGGCCTTGCTGAGCAGAATTATGTATTCTGGAGATAAATGGGACAAAGAGCTAGAGAAAGGCAGCAGCAAGAGGTAAGGGCACAGCCACCCGGTCTGCAGGTCCCGGCATCCCCTTCCCCGGGCTGTTTGTGCCACAGCCCAGGAGGGAGCATCAAAGGCTCCACCAGGAAAGCAGCCAGCGTACTCCTCTGTGAAACTGGGTGATTTTTGGAGAGAAAAAGATGAATAAAGGGGTGCTAGATCTTTCATTTATCTGTTAGGAAGCATTCAAGTGGTCTTCTGCTAACGACTTCAATATATATATTTCTTACAGATAGCAATTAACCTTCTGGTACAGATTAATCTTTTTTAAAAAATCAAAGACGAATTAATCTTTGAAATTCAAAGTATTCAGTAGTTTCATTAATAATCTGAAATTGTCCTTTAGATTTTCCATAATTAGACCATTCTCCTAATTTATTAATCCCACAGACTGCAGAGCGTGTTTCAAATCTTCATCTCCTGCCACAATGACATATTCAAACTCGCTTCAAGTACTCATAATAAAAGTCACTTTGTGAAGAATTATTAACTCAAAGGATCAAGCAAAGTCTTTATGTGCTAAAGCATATTTGAAAACTAAGCAAGGATAGCACTTTTTACTCCTCCTCACAATTCCTAAGATCTTGGCTGAATCAGAAACAAGGTTGGATAAAACACTGAATTTAGGGTAATTAGCTCGCAACAGATTTGAGGCCAAAGATAATAAACGTGCTGGTACCTACAGATTAAATCTTCCTTTCTGCCAAAATACACTGATTGTGAGATACAAGGCAATTGTCTGAGAGCTAGTAATGACTGCTCACTGCTGCTATGCCTCCAGCTTTGACCAAATCCTGTCCTCCATCCTCCCCGCATCCCTGCAAGCTACGGTGACGAAGAGGAGGAAATCCACAGCCTCGCCGATTTTTGGAAAAACTGGATCTTTTGACCATGGGGGAAAAAAAAAAATCCTCCCATTGCTGTTGCACTTCTGTTGCTTCTGGCTTGGCTTTTCCAATTAACATTAATCTACTGGTGTGGCAGCAAGAGGACGGTGACAGATGTGCCCCCCTGTCCCGGCAGCGTCACAGCAGCACGGCCAGGGCTGCTTCAGCAAAGCCCTGTGTAATCACACGCCTCAGTCAGGTCACGTGGGTTTGGAGCCTTTTCAACATATTTAATACTTGCAGTGCATCGACCTTGGTAATGTTTCTCTACCTTGTGCAACCTCCTGCCCCTTCTGCTCCTCCTTAGAGGAGCACTTCATGCATTCGGCCACACGGCTCCTGACCATGCCCATGTTTTTGTTAAGCAGGAGATCAAAGAGCTACTAAACTGCACCACGGCCACGAGTCAGTAAAATTATTGCTGGCTGCTGCTTCTTCAGGAGGCTCTTTCCAAAGCCTGGTATGACAGCAACCACCTGGTTCATCCCTTCTTTTGCTGAAAACATCCCCAAGGAGACGCAGTTACATCAGGCAAGCAAGCCCAAAACTGCTGCACCCTCCACTGCCATGTCTCTTGGAGCACGGGAAAATCTCATTGCAGCACAATCCCCCCAAAACAGGACCTGGGAGATGGTCACAACCAAGCCCTGAAGTCAGGGGACAAGAGACCACATCCCTGTTGGGGATCAAGGTTGGGACCGGTCTCTCCGGGCAGCACCGCTCCATTAAACATCTAAATAGGATCTTCTTACACTTCCCAGGGGTTTTAAAACGCAGGGAACTTGTTGACAGGTATTAAATCCCCTCAGAACTTCAAGTAAGCTTTATCTGTGTAACACAAAAAATTCAGCACAGCCCTGAGAAGCAGCAGCGGCTGCCCTGGATTGGAGGCAGCCCCAGGGATTGGATTATTCCAGTTTCCAGACAAGGCAGGCTGCCTGTAGGAAAGAAAGTTTATGCCCTATCCCCGCTGGTGTCTTAATCTTGTAGGCGTGACCTATATCACCCTGCATGCGAAGCTGGTTTAAGCAGGCCATTCTTCTAATTTTATGCTTTGTGTTTTTTATGAGGGATGCCGAATTACATGTTGACTACGCGAACAGCTCCCATCATTAATTTAATTCTGCAGAAGGTCTATACAGCGATATGGTATTATTCAGCTAGAGTTTGTCCTTGACATAGAGAACACATTTCTGGTATGATTTTGCAACAGTGGATATTTGCAAATAAAGTCAATTTTAAATTCTAATGAACACGGGCATTTGTCACTTCCTGCAGTACTAAATCCAAAACCATTTTCTTTAATACCACATAAATATGCATTCGAATGAGCGGACAAATTTATGCAAATATAGGTTCCTTCTGTGATACCAACATAATGAAACAATTCCAGATTCCCCCCTCTAAAGCCCCTTCTATTTAAGTGCAGCTGCCTTCTCTGCTCCCGCCCCAAATGAGGCTGTCGGGAGCGACCCACGGGCTGGAACCAGCTTTGCAACGACCGAGGGGATGGAGCCCTCCAACAGCAGCTTCAGAGAAATGCCTCTCCTGTCTCGATCCCCTCCTTTCATGCACCCCCTGATGCAGCTCGTTGTTGATGTCGCTCAGTGAGGGAACTGTGGATCACATTGCATTGGTTTTAATTAACGCAACGAGATTCGTGAGTTCGTTTTGGGATTCCAACAGAGTTTATCCTTGTACAATGATGACGGGTTCCCAGTTGGGATATATCACTAAGGGCTTCTCAAGATTAGCCTCGAGCACATCACCAGTAATGAATGACACCACCTGTTTTGTTTTTTTTTTTTCTTTCCTGCCCTTACCAGCATGGAATCAACTTTCAATACTCCCATTCCAAAGCTTTATGATTCTGGGTTGTAAATCGGCTCGCCGTGGATTTACACCTCTATTCCCTGAAGCATCATCTACAGTCCTCCTACGTTCTGCTGTCTCTGAGAGAACTCAGAACTATTTACCCTGAAAAATAAGTTATGGGGATAGGGGTATGAGCACACTGATACAGCAGTCACACCTTCAAGACAGGTCTTTTCTCTGTTTCGTACCAGAGCAGGAAAACAAGTAGCAGAATTAGAGAGCCCAACCCCGTTAAAGTCATGGCATTTCCCCACCCCCTGGGAACATCCCTCATTGGCAAGTGACGTTGTTCAACGCAGTTTGCCCTTCTTGGGACACCAATAAATGAAACCAGCAACAAAAAAAATGTGATGTGTCCCACCAAAGGTCTGATGTGCCTTGCACCACACCGCTGAGTTTGGTGCCTCCATATCCCAGGCCGATCATCTCTGAGCCTCCAAGTAAAACATTATGAATTTTCTCAACAGAAACGCTAAAGGAAAGCAACACAAGTGAGGCAGCAATCTCAAAGAGCAACAGCAATAGCACGACACAAGTCAATGTCTGGTAACATGCAGTCTTCTCAGAATTTCTAGCTGTGGAGAGATAAAAGCTCAGCATTTTAAAATCTGTCTTCTACCCACGTCAACATAATATAATGCCATCCAGTGGAATAGCAGAAGCTTGATAAGACTCAGGGTTTTCTATTTTCTCCAGAAATGATTGAAAACTACTAAGGTTTCAAACTCTCTGAAACCCCATAAGCAATTTTAGAAATGCGAGTATCTAGGAACTGTTACAGAGCCATTACAAAGAACTGGAGCAACGTCAGAATCAAACACACGTTCTAGAACAAAAAAAACATTTGGCACAAAATAACATTCATTACTTCTACAGTGTTTTCTGGAGGGAGGATGGGCGTTGCCTACCTGCCTCTCTGGAAATTTGCATGAAGGACTCGACGCCTTTTTCTCCATAATTCCCTTCAGATGCCAAAGTGGACACATAATTCCATCCCAAAGCTTTCACAATGTCCACCATTGCTTGTGCTTGGAAGGAATCTGGAGGAACCACACGTGAGAAGAAATCATAGCGCCTGTCATCACTCAACTCTGGTGCAGTTGAGGCATAACTGATTTGTGGGATCTGTAGAAAAAAATAATTTCTGATAAATACACATATTCATATACTCATTGCATTTGTTAAAGCAGTTAGCTCAAGCAGTCAGCTTCAGCTGAGCCTCAGTTCTTCTTCATTGCATCCATCTATATTTCTCCATCGTGATCCTTTACAATATACAAGTCAAAGAAACAACCTTTTCATGGGCTCAAAAAAAATAAAATATCACTAATCAATTGAAAACAACTGTATATGTATGCATTTAAAATTCCTTCCTTTCAGGCAATCCTGATCAAATACAGTGCACACAGACCATTTTTCTCACTACGTCCTTTTTATCAGTGTTCTGGTTTTACTACCATTTGGGATCCTGAATGCAACCGAGTTGAAACCCATACCCGTCATCACTGGCTGAAAGCCAGAAGGACCCAGAAAACTCTTAAATATGAAACTGCAACTCCAGATTTCAACAAAAGGATATTTAATTTTTGATTCTTTCTGATGAAGAACAGGCATCAAGATTGCTGAGTAATGGCTATCTCTGACCAACAAAGACAACCTGCTCACAATTCAGCTCTGCCCTAAAACTCCGCCTGTCCATGACAAACCTGCCATACAAAGGAGGCTGACAGTTACTTCTCACGGCAGAGAGACCAAAATATTGTTCAGGGCTATTTTCTCCTTGATAACAAAGGTCCCCAAGCAGCTCTCAAGCTGCCGGTATGTTAATCCCCAAAGCTATTATGCAATTGTTTGAGTAACAGTCTGGGACTGCTCCTTAAATTAAGGAATCTGCCATAAATTCTCACTTGAGATGCCAAGGAGGGAAAGAAAAGCTTTGAAATATACACAAACATGATCATAGATAATGATTTGAGACTTCTAGACTGCGGAAAGGTCAGTATTTCACGCCCCACTACAAGCATCTTCTGCATTCTCATAATCTGTCTCTGTGCAGCATTCCTACAAGTATTTATTAGCTCTCCTGCCTCCTCAGAAGGATAAACACTGTATTTCCCCAGGCTCGATGCTGCAGAGGGCTTGCCACCTCGGTTCCCACAAAGCTCAGTGGTAGGGGAGAGCAAATGCAGCGTTTCCACAGAACACACGCACATTTACAACCACTACGGCAGCACAAACGCAGACCTGCGAAGCCAAAAACTGCTGCTGGAGACCCGACATGGCAAGTGGACTTATCCAAACCATCCATTATTATAAATAACACAACGGCTGCTGAGACCCGTTCCTGTCTGTGAAGGTAGTGTCTACTGATCAGCCTCAATCCATAACAAACCACAGCCCGTGGTTTATCGAAGGTCTCTTTAGCTTCGCTCAGCATCAGCCTAGAGCGAAACACGACGGGACCCCGGTTATTACATATTATTCTCCATTATTACAATAACACCGCAGTCACTGTTAGAAAACCACAAGGGCTGCTCTTAACGCAGACCCCAAAAAGTCAGCGTATGACATCAGAAGTGTTACAGACAAACTGGTCAGATTAATTTCTACCGATGGGTGCTTAAGCTTAAAAATATCAAACATAATTTCTACCAGTGAGTGCTTAAGCTTAAAAATATCAAATATACCTCTGACGATAACTTTACTCTCTTTAAAAAGACTCGTGATAGAGAATTTCATCCTTCTAATTGAAGAATAGTCTGTTATCTTTAAACATACACAATATTAAGCTTTACCTTAGACTGGAAACGCCCAGCGCGGCTCCCAGACATGGCACCGCTCTTTATTTGCTACGAATCATTAAAACTAAGCAAACACTTTAAACTTTTAACTATTAGTTAGATTAAAACAAAAAAAAAAAGAAAAAATTTGAGGCTCCTGGGAAGGAGCCAGCGTGGTGTTGACCATTGGCACAGGATTTACTTGCTCTATGTTTCTCCAGGTGACCAACAAAGCTTGAGGACCATTCTCAAAGACAAATAGATGGATTACACCAATTTATCAGGGTTCTTCATTTTTAATCTACTTTAGGGATGACTTTCAGCTAACACCACTGACTTGTGCAGAAAACACTGGGCACCCTGGCCACCAAAAATAAGTTGAATTCTTAATTTGTCTGGGCCTACAATTGCTTCTGTAATAAACGATTGGTGACATTTTCGGATCGCTCTCTTCTTGTTTGTATGAAGCTGTTAATGGAGCTTGCTCAGCTGCTTATCAGCTTAATTCATCTATTCAGGGGATGGTATTATATTAAGTGGAACAGTTAACCAGGCTGACTTTATGGATGCTGTTTACCCGTTATTAATTAGACAAGCATCCAGTACACAGCACACTGTCCCACACACAAAGAAGGGCTGAGATAGCCAAGTACTGTGTTTGTGTTTGGTTTTTTTAAAAAATATAAATAAAGGATGAAATATGAATTTTTATCTGTGGCAATGTTTGTACTCCAACTTGCCGACAACTGTTTTTTCAACTAAAAACCAAAAGGAGCATATTCTGCACTTTTACAAAAAGCAAAAGCTGTTACGGCATTTGCTGTTGCTTATATTACTTGGGAGACTTTTTGGATTTTTAGTCTTCTTCCTCTGTCCATAAAATATTAACCACTTCTGGCTGTTTCAATCACTTGGAGTATAAAAAGCAAACATTATGTTTTTTTTACCAGGCTTTCTTACAGAATATCTAAAAGCAACATTAAGTTCTATGGATAAGGAGTAGAATTTTCCTAAGATTTTGACTGAATATGGGAAGAAAAGTCCTTAAATGATACAATGTGGTCTGCAGCCACCAGAGCTCAGCTTTCTCCAGGGCGTCAGCGCAACTTGCAAACACCTACAGAAGATGTTCTCCCTTCCCAGGCATCTTCCCGAGCACCCAGGCACCATCCTCAGTGTCCAGCTACAACCCAACAATTCAGCATTTCTTCTTCTCCTCATTTTTTAATGTTCACATCCAATTGGATGTGGACAAACCTCCCACAGACTTAGCTGGAATCCTTTCTCCCGTGCTTCGCACCACGCGTTCCTCCACGTTGCTCTTGGGTTTTTACTGAGTGACCTTAGTTTGCAAAACACAACACCATGGTAACTCCAGTCAAACCTCCACGGCCAAGGCACCTTCTTCTCTCTGAGATCTCTCTGAGGTTGTAAGGGACACCTCTGAAGATCTAGTCCAACCCTCAGGGCTTACACTCATCACACCACATCCAGAAGACAACGTACAGTGCCGCTAAGTGCCAATGGCCACTCACAAACAGACACCTTCAGCTCCTGTCAATGCTGAAGTGCCCTTGGAAACAAAAACGATTTGACCCAGGTCATCAAAACTCACCACAAATAGGCCAAACGTCGCCGTTCTCGGTTCCCACAGAGGACACAGATGGTCTCACCATGAAAGGAGGATGGGTGGAGGCCAAAGAAAAACAAGAAGGGCTATAATTTGATTACTCTCTCGGATCATTAAATTCATCCCTTCTCAAGTACATGTTGGTGCTTCTCAAGACTGGCCCAGGCCTCCTCCATGGCTTACACTCCCTTTTCGCTGAAAAAAAATTTACAAGTTTTTAAACACGACACTTTCCTTCTCTTAAGCCATACTCATTCCTCTTTTTGGTCCTGCAGGGGTTTTGAGACATCACGTCCTGCTGCCATGGGAAGAACTGGGATGTCAACAAACCCAGCAAGCATTACAATGACTTCAAGCCAGGATCACAGCATAGGGTATTTTAAATGAGATAAATATTTGCTATCACTTAACTGATTTATTTTTCTTTTATTTTGGTAAAACCCATTCTTTGTCACCCATATCTTGCATTCAGACCTTTAGTTTGAAGAAGCAGGGCTTCTCTTCCATCACACCTTTCCCATTTTCTGTTCTGAAACACGTCTGAAACATCAAAAAGACTGGTGATCCATAAAGCACAGGGGACAAAACTCTTGCACAGCAAGGCTGAGTGCGAGCAGCCCGTGGTCCTCCTGCACGAACTGCCCAGCAGAAGTGTTTGCAGAAGAGGCAACCCTGCCAGAGCCTTCACCACCAGATGTGGCTGGAGCTGATGCTTTCTGAAGGACACTTGGGTGTTGGCGGATGAGTTGTCAGATCGCTGACACGGGAGGCAGATTTTCCCAAAGACAGACTTTACAAAGACAGGGCTCCAGCAAACACTGCACTCTTGAGTTTTCTGTGTCATTTGCCTGGCTGATTACAGTATGAGTGAGTGATTAATGCTGAGAGCATTGCGTTAGTCAGTGATTAATTAATGTTAATTTCTTTTTAACATTGAACATTATTCTTCATTTATTTCATTTTCTGCTGTTAATGAAAAACTCTCTCTGGGCCACACTTGTTTGTCTTGCTTGAAAAGCATGGTCTGCTTGTGAGCGGCTGCACCAAAACCCACCGCGTGGCAAACACACCGGAGATCAGCACATCTCCCCGATGGTCCCCAAGCCACTCTTTGAAACATCAGACATCCTCCAACATCGGGTTTGGAACCCTGTATCTCAGAGTAAAAAGGCAACTGAAATACCAACTCGCTGTTCTAATTCTTTTCTTGTTTCAAAATGCACTTTGCATCATCGCCTCATCCCGTCTCCTCCTCCTGTTCCACAGAACAAAAACTGAAGTGAAACAACAAAAAATGGTGAGCTCCTCACTAACGGCCCAGTGTCTGAACGGGAAACATGCAGGAGACCCAGTGCAGGAGATAAACTAGAAGTCCTGGGCTCCCCGCCCACATCCTCATCGCCACTGCTCAGCTCCGCCCGCAAATTCACTTGCACGGCCAAGAACCTCGCAAATCGCAGTTGTAAAAATAATTACTGCTGCTACGCCACTCCAAATGTGACTGAGTTAGGCTACATCTCCTCAGTAACTTATTAAAAGCTTAATAAAATGGTGCACCTGAACTCAACTCGCCAAATGACAGTAGTCAGGAAACTTCAGAAAAGGCAATTTCCCTGAGGACCGCGCGCAATTAAGATAATGCATGAGTATACCTGTTGAGATATTAATGAGCTCCCACCAGGGTAATATTAAGTTCACAGTTTGCTGCATTTTTA